GTGTGTGTGTGTGTGTGTTGTGTGTGTGTGTGTGTGTGTGTGTGTGTGGGCTTGACAGGCAGACAGCTTTGTCTCTGCTTGCTGACTGTGCAGAAGGTTGGGCTGACACTGAGCGTTTCACTGAAGGACAATGAAGCTTCTCCATCTGTGTTTCTTTTTGTGTGTGCTTGTTGTACCCGCCGCCCCGCCCATATTGCAAACACACACACACACACAAACACACACACACACACACACCAACACACACACACACACACACACACACAACTTCTTCATCTTTGTCTTAATAAGTTATAGAACATGGTGGGGGGTTAAAGTTGGAGAAAGATAAGAGAAGTATTATTGCTTGGGGGAAAAGGGGCTGAATGTGGTAGTGGATGATGTACAATGGAGGCAAGAAAAATAAAACAGGAATCTTGTTCTGATAATAGAAAAGATGAACAGCAGTGGAGAGGATGAGAGGAGGAAATCAGAACAGAATGAAACATACAACAGATCTAAAGTCTGGCAGGGAAAACAGGAGAAAAGTAAAAATCACTCGGAAGTAAGGGATGAATGGATGTATGGATGGATGGATGGATGGATGGATGGATGGATGGATGGATGGATGGATGGATGGATGGATGGATGAAACAAAGTGAAGAACAAGAATAATACATTTTTGGAAAACAGGCATCAAGGAAGGAAGGACGAAACATGGGAAAAGGAAGAAGGGAAGGAGGAAAGGAACAGATGTAAGGTGAAAAGAAATTAACAAAAGGAAGCAAGAATCAGAAGGAGAGAAGAAACAAGAGAAGGAATAAAGGAGAATGGAAGGAAGCAGAGTAAAGAAGGAATGACAGGAGGAAATATAACAAGAAGAAATGAAAAAGTATGGGATTATATAGATGAGAAAAGAGGGAGGAAAGGAAAAGGAATGAACTGAAAGAAGAAAGCATTGAAGGAAAAGAGAAATAAACAAAGGTAGGAACTGACAGAGGGAAGGAAAGAATAATAAACAAAAACAGGAAGAGGGCCAGAGAGAAACTCACATCAGCTCCTGAGGATGGAAGGAGAGCTGGAGAGGTAAAGGAGAAGACGCAGGGAATGTACTTTAGGATTGAAGGATCCAAGGAAGAATAAAACAAATAGAATATGAGAGGAAGATGGAGAAAACAAACAAATAAAGAAATTGAAAGAAGGAATGAAAAAAGTGAAAAAAGAAGAATAACTTGAAGAATCTAGAAAAACTGGAAGGCATGAACATCTAAACAACAACAAACAGGACCAAACTGAGCAGACGGACCAAAGCCAGAGAGGGAAACAGTGATAAGAAAATAGAATCAGAGTGAAAGAAAAGAGTGGAGCTCCAGCTGACAGTAAATGAGCTGACAGACTGGAGGACAGAGTGACAGAGACAGAGCAGAGAAGAATAGGAGCCGTCACGACTTCCGCTCCATCGGCTGCTGTGTAATTTAGTTCACAGTTCACAATGACCATCATGAATCTTTTATCACTTCTTCTGGGACATTAACACCAACGGTGTGCGTAGCTTCGCCCGATTCACACAGAAACAGCTGTCCCAGACAATTCACTCAAACTGTAAGACTTCCTGAAAACGTCCAAAGTAAATAAGTTACTGAAAAGACAAAAACACAGGCTTTCAGTTTACTGTAAATTAATGATTGTGTTAAAACAGGAAGCTGTAATGATGCTTCAGCATTGTTCTGAACTCAGCAAACACTTCAGTATTTTCTCAAAAGGACATGAAAAATGGAACCATAAGTGTCTGCTTTACAAGAGTTTCTATCTTCAGCCCTTTCCGTCAGACAGTAAACAACCAGAGGTGTCCTCTTTTCTGACCCACTTTCTGCACGTCTCTYTTTGTGCAGGTAAAGGTGACCTAATCGGAGCGAACCTGTCTTTAGATAATCGAGTAATAAAGACCAACGCGGATGTGAAAGCCCTCACCTACTGCGACCTGCAGTGCATCAACCTGAGAGGGCTGTATGAGGTGTTGGACCTGTACCCTGAGTACTCTCACCACTTCGTCCAGGACATCCAGCAGGACCTCACCTACAACCTGAGGGAGGGACACGAGACACATGTGAGCGCGTCCAAAACGTTTGCACTTTTATTAAACATTATTTTTGATTGTTTGAACAGCTTTCTAATTACTCCTATCCAACTGTTGCTGTAATGTTTTAGATTGGTGAGACTTTTGTTTCATGTAACTTTTATACTTTTCAAAGAATTTATCTATATTTATAAATATTTTCATTCATTAGGATCTCTTAAATTTTTTCAAAAACATTATTATTTTTTTATTTCAAACCTCTATTTTTTTCTTCTTTTACTCTTTTTAACTTTTAGCTACCATTCTGCTATTTGAAGTTTTTAGCAAGTCTTTTGGTATTTTTAGCTTTTAGCCCACCTTTTGTTAAACTTTTTTTGCTACTTGCATTTTTAGCTGACTCTAGCAACTTTTAGTTTTAAAATATTGTCAAGGCATAGCTTTTAGCTAGTCTTTTGCTACTTTTGGCAACATTTTGCTTTGATAGGTTTAACTAACTGCTTGATAACGTATCTAACTTTTTGCTATTTTTCACTTTTAGAAAGCCTTTTGCTAACCATTTGCTGCTTGCAACTTTAGCTTAGCTTTTGATGGTTTTAGCTTTTAAGTGTTATTCTAGCAAAAATAGCCTTTTGCTACTTTTAGTTTTTAGGCAGTCTTTTGTTATCTTTAGATTCAGATTGTTGATACTTTTAGCATTTAGCCATTATTTTGCTACCTTGATTTTAACTAGCCCTTTTAAAACTTTAGCTATTTTGTTGCTACTTTTAATTTTTAGCCAACCTTTTGCTACTTTTAACTAGATTTTTGCTACTTTAGCTTTTAGTTAGCCTTTTACTTAACCATGGGATCAACATGGAACCTGAGACATTCTAAATCTTCACAAATTCTAAAACTTTTAATTGTTTTGTAATTGTTTAATTATTCCTAATTACATAGATTTTTACATAAAATTAACATTACCTTAAAAGCTAATTACATTTCACTWTTTTTGAAGATGTTACAGAAAATGAGGATTATTGTAAGAAACAGGAAAGAAACAAATATYTAACAGGGGCTGACAAAGGAAGAAAATTTAAACAAACTCTTCTTGTAGGTTTTTACAGTAGAACTTTATTTTTACACATAGTTTTTATAATCTCCCTGAACCCAGGGAGTTCCTGATTGGTTTTGTTCTCATTTCAGGAGTAGAAATTAATGAAGCCTACTGTATGTTTCCCCCACAGCAGTTCAATGCAAAATTACCAATTATTGTGCGCTTGGTGAAYTCTCTGAATAACGACTTATTATATTAACGTTTGGCAAAGAGTCGAGATAAGAGAACTTTAATGTTCAGAAAATTGACTTTTGGTTTGAGAAGATAAAGACACGAAAAGCTTTATGTGAGAAAATTGTATTTTATTTTTATGTATTTTTAGGGGATAATGTGATCAAAACATCTTAAACCTATAAGGCAAAGTGTCATCTGTGGAGTTTAGTTATGGTTAAAAGTGAGGAGCAAGTTAAGTTTAAGCTGAGGTTGTAATTAGTTGTGTTCGGCTGCTCTTTAA